TCGTATTCGGTTATGTGTTTATAACAAATAAAATAGTGTTACACGCGGCATCCACAAGTAGTTCGATTAGGATGCCCTTGTTATTATTTGTTATACTAATCTTCGTATAAAAAAAGATTACAATTCTAGATTTGAATTGATTTATAAACTTCTTTATAAGTTTTACTAAATTCATAGAAAATATTTATTAATACTTATGACTCCAAATATGTATACTATAAATATATATTCTATATGACTAATAATTTAATGGTGTTGTAAATCTTAGTACTACTTTTTGCATAGATTTAATTATAATTGAATTTAAAACCGTTTCACTCTTTGAAGCGAGATTTATTTATTTATTGGTTGCAAAGGAAGTATATAATGCTACTCGGCAAAGTAGATGTTTAACCTTGTGCATACATACAAACAGGCGAAGAGACAAGGTTAGCTAGTTTCGCAGTGGTTTCATGTCTACTTAAGTAAATAAATATAATAAGGTTTTGCTTTGGCTAAACTTCCAAGACAACGCATAGAATTTTATGTTGGCAATCAGATCTGTTCCTGACCAGAGGTCAACTTGTCATGGGCTTAGTGGTACAGATGGAGCATAGGCTTAGGATGTGGCGACTGCAGCTGCACAACGTGACAGACCATTGTTTAATGCAACGATAGGGACAAGTGACAAGCGGCGTGTTCACTGGTTGATTTAAAAAACCGATAAATTTGGTGGTCGGTTATTTATTATAACAAAAAAAATATTATTAAATTTGGTTGATAAGATCTTCATCCAAACCAACAAACAAACGATTAGGAAGATCCCTTTGAGTATTACTATTACCAACACGGCAAAGTAAAAGGAAAAAAAACACTATTTTCACACGGTTTGTAGCTTAATTTTTAAACCCTAAATAAGTTTTACTAAATTTGGTGTAGAAAATAAGTTTAACTAATTAAGTGAGAAATGACGTCCAACATTTGTATCTTCAAATAAATTTATGAAAAATAGATTCAAATATCTTTCTAATGATACTAATTATGGCCATGTTTTTGTCTAGATTTAATCTTTTAATTGAATTTTCAAAAAACAATGTTTTTTCAGTCTTTGAAGCGAATAGATTTTTTTTTGTTTTTAAGCGAAACGAATAATGCTATGTACCATAAATATTAATATTTTTAATACATATTTAGTAAAGTTCATCCCGGTTAGCTAGTTTCGCAGTGGTTTCATTTATTTACTTATTCTCTCTCATATAATAAGGTTTTTCTTTGGCAAACCATCCGAAGACACTGTAGCGCGGACCAGCCGAACGAGGTGTTGTCTCTGACGAAGCCAAAGCGACGGGCGCACCGACGCCCGCGTGCGCCCCCTACCCGATGGACGCCACGTGGAGAGCACGACGGCATGGGGTCAATGCAGTCATCTGTTGAATAAAAATTTCCTCTGTTTAACTATCGTTTGATGTTTCACGCCCCCCAACGGTTGGATTACAGTTTCCATGCCCCTGATTTTCATTGCACGCTCTCAGCTGAGCATTCAGAAATGGAACCCTTCTATGATTTTTCTTCTAACCTTTTGTCGGACGCATTGCAGAGATTAGAAGAACGGCACCATCGTCCACTACTGCTACTGCATCTGCGCACATGCTCTTGCTCTGGGACCAGGCAACTGCGTTGCATGCTGTTCATTCGATCCGAAGAAAATTTTACTGCTGCACAAGGGAAAAGAAGACAAAAGGGAATCGGGCCTGTTCGGTTCCTCGACCGAATTCCACTCCAATATATATCGGATATTTAAAGTTATTTATGAAAAAAATAAATATAGGTAAAAATATTTAATTAGAGGAATAGATGTTAATTTACGAGAAATTTTTTGGCGACGGGCACATGATTTGACGCCCGCAATGTGGTGCTCCCTACCCGATGGAATACGTGTAGAGCACGACGGCAATTAGGGGTCAATAAATTCATCCGTTGAATAAAAATTCGTCCCTCTATATAATTAGATTTATAATTAACTCATATTTAGATTACTCTTAATTAGCATGAAACGTTCGATTGCATGCTTGCAGCTGAGCATTTAGTCCGTGGAACCCAACACCTTACTTCTAACTTTTGTCAAACGCATTGTCAGAACCAGAACGACACAGCACAATGAAGGCTCAAACAAAGGCTGCATCCAAACTCCCAAGCTTCAAGCTTCTGGAAGTGGAAGTGCCAGCAGGTTGCCTCCATTTCCAAATCCTCTGTGCCTGCTAGCTCTGCTTTCGTGGTTGCAATGCATGCACTCGACTACGCCGGACGGACGATTTAGTTCAAAAATTTTGCACCCTAAACTATCACATTCTCTTTAAACTTGCTGTCATACAGGCATTATTAAACCCAGAACGACGCAAAACGAATTGCTCATTTGGTTGAAAATCGCGAGACAAATGTTTTAAGACTAATTAGTCCATGATTAGCCATAAGTGCTACAGTAACTACCATGCGCTAATGATGGAGTAGTTAGTCTTAATAAATTGCCCCGCAATCTTCTGGAAGTGGAATGCCAGCATTTGGCTTTTTATTAATCCCGAAAACCCTTTTGACATCCTCGAAACATCCGATGTAATATCAAAAATTTTCATTTCGCGAACTAAACACACCCTGATAAGCACGGGAGAGTAAATGCGACAGAGGCAAAGTTGTTCAGGCAGCTCCCTTAATTAAACTCGGCAAGGACGACGTGAGATGAGTGCAATGCAAACAAATGGTGGTGGTGAGTTCTCCCGCGACAAAAAAAAAAGAAAAAGAGAGCTTTCTTAGAGAAGACGGCACGGAGGAGGGTCCACCGCGTGAATCCATCCATGCCGTACGTGCTCGGCCCCCTCGTTCTTTTTCCCGAGCAAGAGCAAGGCGGCTAGCTCGAGACCATCCCTGGCCCTGTGACCCTGCTGTGTATCCACGAGCAAACCGAATGATGCAGATGTTTCGATCTGGTCGTGGACAATGGTGGTGGAGAGCTTTGAATTTTATGCTTATTGTACGTCCTATGGCTAAATTACTGGGCGAAACTAATAATTTCTCACGGTGCATATAAAAGGAAAGAGCAAAGCATATATTATTTGTGTTGTAAGGTTGATTGGGACCTCGCTGCAAAAAAAATAATGAGATACATGAGAATGCTTTGGTATTTGTGAGGAGGTAAATACCTTTTTGCCTCCAATATAACATCATTATTTATATCAAATATGGTATACAACAACAGTAAGTGATTGCTCAAGTGGGTGCAGAGGGAAGGCAGTGACCTACTATCACCATTTCAATATATGAAACCATTTTATTCACTAGGTAGCGTGTCCGTGCGTTGCTATGGGACATCTAAACTTTTATACTAAAAGCATATGGATCGCATGATAAAATAGTAATACCGTGAAATTAAATACCAACGTTAAAGTGACATTTAATTCAAAAAACAAAGTTCGTGAAATTAACATAGTCATGGAAAGCGCGGCGTCGCAGGCTTAACAACTCTACTGTATAGATCTTTCCGTAATGCGGCTAAGATAATGTTTTATATCGGCAGGAAGAAACCTCCGATATCCATTTCTTTCGTGCATTATCTTACCTTCTTTGGCGGTCTTAGTCTTATCTCCTAATGGTGCACATGAACGGTTATTTTCCATGCGTTGCAACTGAACAACCATGTACATAGGGTGATTTATCTAGGTAATGCAACCGAAAATTCATCAACCTGATGTCTGAGTTTTTCCAACTACTGTGGCTACAACAATGTCAAGGTTGACCTTAAGTTCAAAATCCATGGTGAATGCAGCATGTTTAAAAGTGTTTCACGGGTCGCCTGAGGGGTATTCTAGCTTCAATCGGCAAACCATGTGTTAAGTATTGAGGCCACACCATCCTTCAGTTGTACAATTACAACACTCAATTCAGATAAAAACGTAAATATTCACAGAAAGCACAAATATTTCTGAGTCGTTAATGCAAACTCATCAATCAAAATAGACAAATATTGATACGAGCAATTGCCTTTTGTTAAGCATCCATGGGTACCGAGTGCTACAACTGCTGCCTCCCCTCATTGCTGCACACAGTAGCAGCTCACAGTTGAAAGCCAACTCGCCCCGGGGTGACGGCCGTCAGCAGGCGCATGTCTCCCAATGGCTCTTCCCATCCTCAGGTGATGCACCCTCTTACTGCAACATGCATCATATAGATAGATTATGATTGGAGCAAATACAAATTTTAACCAAAGTTTAACATTGGTTCTAAATGAGTTGCTCACTAATATCTATCTATATAGGAAAGAAAGGAGGTTTGCTTTAGGAATGAGCTAAATGATAGGCTGGAGTTTAGCTCCAAATGCAAAGCCATCTAGGCATCTGGAGCATGGATTAGGAAGGAAACCACAGTGAGAGTAGAAGCAAACAGACATAGCAAGCAATGGCGCACTGGGAGAGCGAGCACGTCTTGGTTTCACTGTGTGTTGTCCTCCAACTTCGATCCCGATGCCTCTGATGATGTCTTTGAGCCAGAATTGTTATTCGAATTACATGAAATCAGCATGTGGACCAAAGATCACTAACTAAGGGTTAGTTTTCTCTAACGGCAGTGAAAAACATTTAGTCTTGCTCCTAAGAAACCCTGAATTACTTTCAGAACCTTATTAAGTACAGAGCTCTTGCCGCCATGAGAGCATGCTGTTTGTATAAGCACAGTTCAGATTCAACAAAAAGACATGCTAATGGAACCAAGCACTCCTCTTTACCTGTCATATTTAAATTATCGTGATGTTTATGGGCTCTTGCTGGACAAGAAACAATACCACCTACAATTCAGGTTTTGTTGATGATAGGGAACAGTGCCATACAAAAACCTGAACACAAACAACAAAAGAAATCCTATCAAAAGAACAAAAAGAAAAACAATGAGTTGTAGGTGCTCTGTGTCTTGTCTAACTGAATTAGGGAGTTGAGAGATCAAAACCTTGCTGCAATCATGAACCACTATCAATCCTGCTATGACATTTTTAACCACACCTGTATTTACAACAAAAACAGGAAAGAGTTGAGAGATTTCTTGCAAATATTAGCTTACAAACAATAGCCAGGTTTCAGTAATGACATTCCTAAGGTAAAATTATTATGGACAATGTAGGATAGCTTACCATTTTTGTAATCACAGCGGGGCAGCAGGATAGTTTGCATTTGTCCCTCACTTTTTTCATTGTAGCACTTTTTTGTAGTGCATCTGCCCTTGGATTTCTCATCTTCTTCAGAAACTCCCTGCGGTCTTTCTCCATCAGAATAACTCTGTTACAGCTCTGGAAAGGCACGAGAGAACAAGAACAATTATCAAGATGGAGTTCAAGTGTTGAGCACACCCATGATGTAAACTTCTTCATGGCAGTACCTTGCAGATGCACTTGAACATGTCCAGAATACAGTTAAAGAAGCCTACATTAAAAACTAGAAGTGCAAGCTTCAAGTAGCCAAAATGACCAGGACAGTCACAAAATTTCACCATGGCAGGTACTGCATTTGTCTCTTATTCGGGATTCCCAGAAATTTGACATGGGGAAATAAGTTGCAACAACTTGAATGATGCTACAGTGATTGCATAAGCACCAAGATTTTTTGTTCTCAGAATTCAAGAAGTACCAATGAAGTCAAGTATTTAAGCAAGCATTGGACAAAGCAGGTAACAAATTACCCAACAATATGCTCTCTGTAGTAAAAATCGATCAAAACTAATACAAACAGTGCATAAGGAATTACCAAGTGCAATCCCGGTTCAGTCAAGGATGGATCACAAACATTGATCAGTACACACCTAAGATTTGTCATGATATGATCAAGAAGCCTGATTAAATAAGAAAAAAGATTCTTGCATAATCCACATAGGTCTAGGCAATAAGCAAAATGAATGCACCAACCACGAATTTAAGAACTAAGATATGCAAGAACTGCATAATGATTGGAAGAAACCCGGCGCGTACCATTCGTCCATGTCCAACTCCAACATTTGCATCCTCCTTAGTCCTTAAGATGCTGGTGCTGCTGCCGCTCCACCTTCCTCAACCCAACTAACGACTTGAGCCACTTAGCCGAGATGCCCATCGTGCCGCCACTCCGGTTGCCTCAATCGCAGTAACCTAAAGACATAGATTTTTCGGTTTCCGCACCAGCACAAAACTACAGAACAATGCCACAGGATGGAGGGGAGAAAAGGAGCGCTCACATTACTTATTCAGTTGTATCAGGGGGGATGCTAGGGGCCACCTGAGGTGCATCATTTTCAGCATCAGTTGTATCACATGGAACTAACAGCTTCCTTCGTCATATAGAATGCTTGTTTGAAGTGACGCCAACTGCCTGGTAACAAAATAATTGTAGCAATCAGGTCCAATTAATGCTCCCATCCTAATAGTAAAAAATCAACTTAGCAATAGAACATTTAGAAGTAACATTTGAGCACAAAAGCATATATTTGCAAGCAGAGAGGCAGCAGAAACACCTCCAACAATTAAATGATGAGTAAAAACCAACCCTTTTTCCAAATCAGTGTCAAAATAATTAGAGGGCTAATAAGTACTTGTAGGGAATAGAAGGCAACTCCAAACATGATCAAATGGAATGACTTCACCTTGCTCCTGTAAAATAGCAGTTCATTAAATCTTTTCAACTCTGTCTGGTTGGTGGAACAAATTGTAAAAGGCACGAGACTACCTTTCCCATCTCTTCTTTGCATCCTGACATAATATTGCAATCAAGAGCACTTAAAACTCTCAGTATGAAAATACTTCGGAGATATGCCATCACAACTACTTCAACACCAGCTTCATTAAATCTTAGCAATTCCATGGCATATCTAGCAAATTTAATAGACATGTCAAGTCAGCACCAGAAAAGGTCAAGCTGAAAATATAGAGTACAAAATAAAGCGAAGATGTGCAAGCTTTGCATGTTTTTGAAAAAAAGTATTGAGATGCTAGTAATGCAGGAAGTACTCACGGCTTAGCAATCTCTGTAATATCAAACCTAGGATCAAGGCCTTTAACAATACAATCTAGAATTGCATTTTTATACGAAGGTGCAAAAGTATTTTTATAGGAATCTATAAACAGGTAAAAATACATTAACAGTAAATGAGAAGAACCATCACCTCGTCCTCCAGCAGGGAAACAGCTGCCGCCACGGAGAAAGATAACGAACCGGGGTAGCACGCCGGGAGCCTCGCCGAAGCACCGTGGACCGGTCGCGCCACCTCCCACCCGCGGGGTCCACGTCCACGCGTACCACGGCCGCCTGGGGAAGCTCGCGTGCTAGGGCCGCGGCTTCCGCACCGCCGGGTCCACGCGCTACCGTGCCGCCTGGGCTACGCGCCGGCTTCGCGTGCTCCTATGGTAGCGCAGCATAGGGTTGGGCCACCGGAGCCGGGTAGATGGAGGAGTGGAGCGCGCGTCACGAATCGGAGCCGACGAGGGCGGAGCGGCGGCTTCGCGGCGTCGGTGGCGCCGTGGCTACCAGCGACCGCAGCGCTGCCTCGAGGGGTGGGGGGCGGAAAACCCTAGCCTCGTCAGGGTAGGGCAGCCATGGAGTGCGATGCCGTGGGCGAGCGCGGTGATGGAGCGGCGGCGCGAGGGCAGGGAGAGAGAGGGAGCGTCGGCGTGCGTGAGCGAGCGGGGAGATAGAGCGGAGATATCATGCGTCGGCCTGATTCCATGTGGGATCTCGCGCGAGGGGGAGGCGCAAGCGGGGAGATGGAGCGGAGATCGCACGCAGGCCAGACCGACGAGTCGAGGTTGGTTCGTCGCACCAAAACGGCGTCCAACTTTTACAGCCGTTCGGTTGGCTGGTTTGTTTCGTCGCTCGTTTGTGAAGAAATATTGCTGGTTGGTTTGTGTGAGAGGAAAATATTATTTTGACTGAAAATTTACGATCATTTACGACAAGCCATGGCCAAACGAACAGGCTGTTAGTCTTTTTTTAGCTGTGAGAGAAAAGATGTGGTGCATGAAAAAAACAATATGGAATTGAACAATCATTTTGATTAAAGACCTATTGAGTTATTGAGATGCATTGTTTGGCTAAACCTAAGAAATTCTTTTGCCAGCTCTCATAAAGGAAAAATAATAGAATTGGCTAAGATTTATGATGCTGGCTTTTTGCAGCAAAACCATTTACACCCTAGAGAACAAGTTGATATATTCATTGTTGATGCGAGAGATTATTTTAGTTTTGCAAATTCTCATAATCTTAGAAATCTTGTTATTAAGATGGTCCAAATTGACATATACACGATTTTTCCATTGGTTTATCTGTAACGCCCTCGGTGTTACACTATAAATTTTTGCTAAAACACTACATGTGCATCATATTTATGTGATAGTGTATGTAAAATAGTATGTAAATCAATCTCTGTAACTTGAAACGACTAACAGAGATGTAAAACGAAAGTTACATTTCATAGTCGAGTTATATTACTTAGGGTTTTAAATTAATTTTTATTAAACAAAAATGCTATAGAGCATATATACGGAATTTTAATAAAGTTAGAAGTACAAATCGTGTAGGTGACGATGAAATACTTGAGGTCGCGAAAGGAATTCACTAGCTAGCGTACCGAATAGCTTGGAAATCGAATTCGACGCGAAACCGATAAAGACTTAGTCGATTTCGTGAGACTGAAAAATAGTTTGACAAAGCCGTGTTCGACAATTTTTATAGAGCAATTAGGTTAAGGGGCGGTGTGGTTTCATGGCTGGTTTTAGTAGCTTGATATGCCCTCTTGAGAATGATATACGTGGTTTGGTGATTAGATCAATGTTTTAGGGTTTTTCGAATGCTTTAAAAATCGTGCGCACAACGTTCCCGGCCGGTTCCTCGCGTTGACATGGTCGTTGTGTCCCTGTGCCGTCGTCGACGCGTCAGCCTCGTGCATGCGCGTGTCTGGCCACGCCCGCCTGGTCACGGTGGCTGGCTATCGAGCATGCAGCTGCTCCTCCCCCACTGCCACGACGTGCGCTGCTGTCCACGTCGCTGCCGGTGCCTTAGGATCGCCTGCGTCACTCCGTGCCGGCTCTGCTCCGCCAGTCGCCATCGCCGGTCCGCTCGAGTGCAATGGCGATTCCAGGGCCGCAGCCGTCGTCGCCAGCATGCATGTTTCCTCTGCGTCGCGTTGTTACTTTGTTTGCGCCCGCACTGCCTGCGTCGCATCGCCGCTGCCGCTGCTACACGCGCCTGCGACACCGGCACATGGCCATGTCGCCGTCGGCTTGCCAATTAAGGCGCTGCGGCCACGCAAGCCGTGTCGACTCCATACGCGCACGTGTAGCCTCCTGTGTGTGACCTTGTTCTCTTCTATTGAGTGGCAAGCGCCATGTTGCGCTCCCTGATCACCTCTGCCTTTAATGGCGTCGTGTCGGAGTCACTGAGCCATGCCAAGGCCAGCTCACAGCGCCGGCCTAATCCAAGCAATTGAGGGCACCGGGCGGTTGAGTGGGAACCTAGCTACACGCCGAGCCCGCCCTTAGTCGCAGCCTTGCACCGTAGAGCTCTAATTTGGAGTCTTCTCCCCCATCGGCCATCTTAAGGCCAAACGGCGGCGCTCACCCAATTCACCTCGCACCGTCCACCTCCGTTCAATTCATTGGCACTGTGTCTTCGCCCTGTTCCCCTCCATCCCATGCGCAACCCATTTCCACCACCACTACCTTCCCGGCGCCGTTGGCTCGGTCCCGCCACCGCTGCCGTTGTGAAACTTGCCGTGCGCGCGTGGCTGGACGCACCCAGTCCATCCTGGTCAAGCCACCATGTCTGGTAGGTTCTGGGTGAGTTGCTAACGCCCATTCTTCGGTTCATTTCCGTTGTTGGTGCTTTGGCTCACGGAAACGTGTCCGCCGTCGATGCAGGAGGTCCGCCGCCATGGAGGGAGCTCTGGACCGCGTCTCCGTTCATCGCTTCACTGCCCACCGTTTCGAGTTTGCGTATAGGTGAGCATCGGCTTGCTATTGGGGGCGGGGAGGGGCTGGTCTGGCCGGCGTAACCGCCTTGTGCCAGCGCCGCAGCGTTGGTGCGCGCGCGGGTGTCCGGGGGACCCGACCTTGGTAAAGAAGGAAAGGGGGAGAGGCGTATTTGTAAAATAGTTGACTAAAGGAATAGTGTTGTGGACCTCGATTGGATTTGGTATTAGCGTGAGGACGTTTTAGCAAATGTACCGGCGTGCGTGGGCCTCCGTGTCGCGGGCCGTTGTCAGCAGTGTTGGGCGGCGCTGCGTGAAGCTGTGCTACATTGGTGGTCGCGTCTTGCGCGCGATCTGGACGAGTGGGCCACGCTGCTGCTCGCTGTGCCAGCAAGTGATGAATTTAGTTTTCCTTTTTCAGGGAATTAATAAATGTTTATTCAATTTAGTTTTGAGCTGATCTTTGTAAAATTATAGTAAATTATATAGGTGTCTAAAATAGTGAAAAAAAATTTGTTAGGTTCATAAAAATGCTATCTATCTGTTAGTGTAGTTAGTTTACA